AGGTTCTCGAGGGAGCTTTAGAGGAGGTCACAATGATGGGGCAACAGATCCACGAGGCTTTAGCTCTGACTCTAGTCACGTCGAGTGTCACTACTGCCATGAGTTGGGCCATACAAAGTTCAACTGTCAGAAGCGGTTGGCCAGAAATCAGAGGCTATCATCTGCCCACTCTGCAACTAGGGGTGTTCAAAAAAACCGTTGGACCGCTCAAACCGACCGAACCAAGTCAAACCGGACCGTTTTTGGCGGTTTGAGCGGTCTAGCGGTCCGGTCTGGTTTGGAAAATAGCAAAACCGGACGGTCCGGTCCGGTCTGTGGTTTGGAAATTCTTTTGGGCGGTTTGGACCAAACCGACCGCCAAATACATACATATATATATATATTTATTTATTTATTTATTTATCTATTTTAATATTAGCAAGCCCAACTTTTTAACTTATTGACTATGACTCAAATTAACATAATCAGAATCGACGACTAAAACCATTAAACCATTGAACATATCGACACATTTGATATTGACGGTCTTCAAATTTTGAAATCCCTTAAAAACTCTATCAATCTATTGATTTTTCTAATCCTTGGTTTGATTTCGGCGCACATTATCAAGACATCAACCAAGTGGTTCAACCAACTTAGATTTGACTTCTATTTTGTTTGGTCAAGACTTAAGAATTGAACCATTGAAGGTTGTGAAGTCGTAAATTTTGTTACTCAATACTCACAGTAGAGTTGTAACTTTGTTAATTTATTTGTTTTCTAATATGTTATATCTTTATATGTTTGTACTTTGGATTGCCTCGACTTTGTACTCAAGAGCTGCTTATTTATTACATTTATTTGATTAGATATTTTTTTGTTAAAATGGATACTTAATCTAAAATTCTAAATTATATATATATATATATATATATATATTTTAAGTTTAATATAAAGTCCATTAAARGYCCAAACCGCCTAAACCGGTCAGACCAGACCGCTTTTACTTGGTCTGGTTTGACCGGTCTGGACACTTGATGTCAAACCGCTCGGTTTGAAAATTTTATAAACCGCCGTTACGGTTTGGTTTGTGGTTTGAGGGGTTAAACCGCCCAAACCGGACCGCGAACACCCCTATATGCAACCACGCTAAATAGCACTGTTAAAGAGGAGCATGCCCACTCTCATTCTCGTGGAGATGAAAACCCCACTACTTCTACTGCTGCGTTTGCTGAGACAGGTAACTCTGGTAAATGCCTTGTGTCATCCTCCTCCAAATGGGTCATTGATTCGGGTACCTCAGATCATATGACTTGTAATTCTAATCTTCTCTCTGATTTTACCAAACATGCCCCATCAGCCCAAGTTACAGTTGCTGATGGAAATCTATCC